CGTGCATGAGCAGCTGATGCAGCAGGCGCCTCGCTTGTCATGAGGGCGTGCCTTGAGACGCCATCTTGAGACAAGGCAGATGATGAAAGAGTTGCGCGTCTGGATGCGGTTGATGGCTGAGACACTTGCGGCTGATGCGATGAACCTTCGCGCTCCTCATCATCATCATCACGGCCGGATGGATGTTGGTCTCGTCGCGATGAGGTCATAAAAGTTCTCGGCAGAGTCATGGGTCTCAGAAACAAGGATCGACGCGTTCCCGCCTCCTTGTGCTTCTTTACGTCGTCTGATACAGCCTTCGAAGAAGAAGCTTGCCGCTCCTCCCCCTTGACGCATGTGTTGGCAGTGCCGCCTTGACCAACAGCTGCGCGGCCCTTCCGTGCTCTCAAGGTGGCAGAGACAGCAGCGCGACCCACGCTACCATTACTGCTGGTCAGGCTTCCGCTGCTGTTCGCGTTCTTCAGCAGAAGTGCGCGCCTAAGACGGCGGCTTCGCGTGTTCGTCCTCCGACGATTTCGCACTCGTGGAGGCGAAGCGTCATCTGCTGCCGCATTGCGGAGCGAGGAGTACGAAGCCCCGGCAGCCATCACGTCAATGTCACCAACACAGCCGATCCACCGTCACAGATAGGATCGAGCGACGTGACCGCGAGGCGGCTGGATGTCAGCGGTGGCCAGATCTCAGGCGCCGTGCTTTGCCGAGGCCAGTCCCTGTTGTTTGCGGCTCAGCTATGCAAGGGGTTCAGATCGCGCGCGCGAGTGTGTGAACTTGTTGTGTGTGCAGCTTCAGCGCTCTGAAGACGAAGGTGGCTTGCGGAGAGCCTGGAAGCGAGCAGGAACGAGCAACAAGAAGTCATGTCAGCCTCCGAAACAATTCAAGATGTAGCCTCTCGCCTTGGACTAGCGTCTAGCAACTGTTGCCAAGGAAACCTTGCCGTCACAGATCACGCTCGTGAAGGATATGGTTTCACGAGCGGCCGAACTGTTTGTTATCACCCCGCTCAATTTCCGGCGATCCCCGCATTAATTGGCCTTTTCCCGCTAAAGAAAATGATTTGCGGAGAAGTGCCACTGCGTCGCCTCCCTCTTGAAGATCGCGCAAGTCACAGACTCTTGGTTTCTACAGGCCACACTGACGACGACGGCTGGCGATCTCTAGTGGCTTTGAAGAGCGGATCTGTGCGAGCTTCGACGTTGCGACTTTGCGCAGCTTGGCTCGCTGCGAGCAGCAAGCGCGCGCTACGGGCAGATGAGAGACGCGACGCGCTGCAACGCGACTTGTCCTCCCACGCGTGTGTGCCTGC